CGTGATCAAGGAGAACCAAGCCATGTTCAGATCTTTGCGTTAACTTACATCGCTGAGCAAATGTATTCACCGTATATGATGTTAAAATGAACCAGAACGAGAAAACATCCATCTAGTATCGTCAGTACTTGCAGTCTTGACTGTGTTCGTGCCCCAAAGACCTCGAAACCAACCGGCTATTGGGAAATTAGCATTTTTTTTTCTTTAATGATGTCGTGCAATCATGCATTTTTAACGGTCATAAAACACATACTGCTGACACCTTGCAATCTTTTTTGACCTGAAATACAAAATATATATAAAAAAAAAAGAATAGATAGCGCATGTATCTTGAGGTCTCAGTTCAACTTTGACATTTCGTAAGGGTCAGCTCTGAATGCTTTACTTTTGTAGCAAGTCTTCAAATCTATCAATTAACGACTATCTAGCAGGTTTGAATATGTTTTTAACCAGAAAAGAAAGAAAACAAAAATACACAATTGTTATTTCGAAAGGGAGGCACGCAATCACGGTTAGAATAACATATCCCACAGGGAATTTTTTACTTTGGTGTGAAAACATCACCAGATGAGAAGGCTCTCGACTGGCACCTTATCTGCTTGTATAGGGCATACCGAAAATAAAGTTTTTTTTTTCCCGCTTTATTTTCCTCTCTCCATAAAATTAAAATGTGAAACACCTGCCATTCTCAAGAAGTTTAAATCAATTTTTCAGTGCAAACTGCTTGAAAATATGGATAAGGATAACTTTATTTAATGTCGTAAACAATGAGTACATTAATGAACGATGGAGAATATAAGCTATAATAAACAATTATTCACCGAAGTGGAGGTAGATATCTATCATTTTCACTGAGGTGAATAACTGTTTTGTAACCAAAACGATTAGTTTTTTTCTGTCCATACATCAGAAACTGGTCAGAATTTAAGAGCCAATGCCTATAAAAATCAAGCAAAACTAAAATTTCGCGGCCAGAGCCTTATTTTTTTTTTCGCTGTTATTTTGCCTATGGATAGTTATTGGTCAGTAATTAAACGTAATGTAGTTTGTTTTCAGAAAGGCCGCTTCAATTTAGAGAAAATCAATAAAATCTATTTTTGCTGTCGGCGACTTGAGAACAACCAAAATTTCAGACGAATTGGGCTTTTCTCAAAACTTCGCTTGCATGCAAAAGGGAAGAAAGCGAGATAAAATATTTTCAAATGCATGAGTTCATAGAGGGTTTTACTTCTAGTTTGGTGGTAAATATTCAAATTAGCAGTTTGCGCCTCATGCGAACTCTCTGAAGTTGAACAAAATTTAGTTGAAATACGAGACATTTGAATATTTAACGTAAACGTCTTGTTTTTTCTGAAAGGGAACGATAACTTTTTTTCCAAATCGAAATTGGACGTACTTCTTAAATACGATATATTAGTACAAACATTCAATTGTGACAAGCTTTGTTGGCTGAATGAACAACTTCAATTTGATTGACGTTGCCACCCTCTAATTTAGTTACAACAGAGTTGTAAGTTGAGGAGATAAACCGATAAGGAGCGGAGTTGCGTGACATAGAGCAAAATCCTTCTGTCTGCTCCGGCTGACTGAAAAAAGGGATTGTTTTATTAAAATAGCAAAAAACAGCACTGTTTATAAACCTTTTAAACTTTTCGACCTTTATATTTTTTATATCTTTACGATTACATACTTCTAAGACAAACATTGTCTGGCTGGTAATTAATTTAATTTTACAACAATCAGTTTCTGACATCTGCGTCAATAAACTTAAAGAACTGAATACACGGAAACTGGTTCAAGCCACCTAAGAACTATGGAAAATACTCGTTTATTTCTATCGATTGTGGGAGGCCGAAGTGGTCACGACAGAAGAAACAGGAACAGAGCAAAGGAATGTATTCCACTGCTTAGCTATCAGCAGGATGTAACCGGCCGCAAGGCGATGTTTGCGTTTCATGGCATAGATAATAAAGTTGACTTGATTCGGGCGAGAGCAACCACCTTCTCTCCCCGAAATATTGATCAGACGACAGTCTATTCAGCACATAGAACATCCCTAGGTATTGGATGGACAGTGCAGTGTTCCGGACAAGTGTAAGGAGCCCTCAATGTTGTCTCATCGTCGCGAATCCTGACTTTTTGTTCCGCCTCAGTACGAAAGTCTCTTCAAAGTCTCGATTAGATAAGTTCTGCGAGAGTCAAGCCTTCGACGATGTCGCTGACGTAGTAAACAGATTGGCGACGAATTTCTGGGAATGACTAAGATAAGGGAACTAAAGGAGCGCCTGAAGTCTGCAAAGCGTTATCTGAAGGTCGATTTTAAAGTAAAATTAAAAAAAAAATTTTATGATATGCATGTATAGAGATGTCAACAAACAGGTTCAAGCTTGAAAAAAAGACACTTGACCTGAAGCATGTATTTTCCGCAAACGTGGTGTGATAAGGCCATCAATCACGTGACCATGTCTAAAAGTGCATTTTATCCCAGTGCGAGGACACGATTTCAGTTATGAAGGATGTCATCGGAAAGCTGAAGTCACACTTGCCTTGACCGAAATCTGTCTTTTCTAGGAAGGAAAGTGCTGGCTGCTACCACTGCGGGGTTACTGTAGTGGACGCCAGCTTTGCTAGTCAGTGTCATGGGGTTTCCGTGAAACACCTGGACTTTTCGGACCCACAGGGTGGTAAAGGGTCTTGTGAAAGAAAGGCAGCATCACTTAAATCGCACATGAGAGTCCACCTTAACCAAGGGTCTAACATTGAGACTTCCAAGGAAATGGTAGACGTTATCCAGTCATCAGGGGGTGTTCTTGGAGTCGATGTTATATTATGCAGCTCATTGCAAAAAAACCAAAAACCCTCTTTGAATGTGAATATTGCAGGCGTAAGTTTGATTTCTAATACTGTATTCAACGACGGAAGCCTTAGGGTTTGGAAAGCTTATGGAATACGACGTGGTAAATGTATATGACTCTCAGAGCCTAATACTTCGCAGCTGGTGCAGGTTCTAGATCTTGTGAAATGTGATGGAGAGGGAATGCCAATTGCACACTTCATTAAAGTGAGGTCCAGGCCTCAGCCTCGCACGGCTGCTAATTCTCAAAGATGTTCAAATACTGAAGAGGAGCCTGTGGGTAACACCTCCACTGTTTCTCTCTTTTCCTGTCCGGAGGATGGATGTGAGAAAACGCATCAGAGATTTTCCTTCTTACAGCACCATCTGAATGTTGGAAAAAACGAACGTGCTTTAGAGAATAAGACACTTTTTGACAGAGCGGTGCTCGTCTACGCCGTCAGACTATAAGAGCAGTTCTGTAATAAACCACAGGTACGGGTTAGAAAGCGTCTAAACCTCACCAGTCATCTGTATTTACCAATGGAACGGGCCCTGAAGTTTAGTCATGTTCGACGAACAAGATATACAGAAAAGCAAAAAGATTACTCGACAAGTAAATTCGGTACTGGAGAGACGACTGGCCAGAAAGCGGATGCAGCGTCTGTAGCCAAGTCTATGATGACTGCGAGGGACAGCAATGAAAACTGCCTTTCTAAAAGTTCTGAATTTCTGACGGGCCATAAGGTTTCAACTCTCTTCTCAAGGCTAGCCTCCAAGCGCACACTCATTGAAAATGACGGAGTGACATTGAAGAAAACCAGAACGAAGAGGATGAGGAAGCCTTCAGCGAGCTGAGAAGTTAAATCCTTCAGGAAGTTGCCCTCAGTCATCCCATCTGCTATGACAGTTATGACATTTGCAAACTTACTGCAGATTCAAAGCTGTCAAAGTTTGCAATTAAGATGCTTCAGAATATCTGTGAGTACTTTGATATCCCGATAACCGACTCGAGAGGTTGATCACCTTTGGCAAAAAATGCACTGTTAGGGAAAACTTTAATTCGCGTTTTGCTAAAACGATATCTGTGATGGGTCAGAACATTTGGTGGTCTGGAAGACTTCCCTATGAAGGTCAACCGATAAACATCGGCATAACAGTATAGTGCTTTACAGCAAAAGTCTCATAGAAAACTTAACTCAAGAGATTGTTTTTGATTGTTTGTTTTTAAGTTCGTGAAAAGATTTTTAAATTTGTAAGACCCCATATTTTGTTAAAATATATATATTTACGGCTTGATGGACAGTCGAAATTTGAAGAAAAGGATGCGAGAGAATTATAAAATGCTTACTTGAAATGAAATAGAAAACAACGGAAACAGGACCGGCGCTTTTTCGCGTCGTTGTTTCTCTACACCCTCACGGTGGGGATAGTTTTGTTCTGTCACGCTACTCCACAGCAGGGCTACAACATAATTAAAGACAAATGTGCCCTTGACTACTGGAACGTTCAACTGTAAACTATTTTGAGATTTTTAAAAGTTTAAACTTTGAAAGTGTACAAGATGTAAAATTAAATCGCAAAGAAAGGTTGATCGAATCTAACATTTCCGATAAAATGCTCGACGGCTGAAGTTCCCGGGTGAAGTTAAAAGGTTCTCTGCCTCAAGTTCGTTGAGCATAATGTTAACATGGGAAGAAGAAACAAGGATAACCAAGATATTTATCTCTCTTTCTTCCAATTTGCATGCAAGCGAAATTTTGAGAACAGCCCACTTCGTCTTAAGTTCTGGCTGTTCTGAAGTCGCCGACAGCAAAAACAGATTTTTCGATTTTCTCCAAATTAAAGCGGCCTTTCTGAAAACAAACTACATCACGTTTAGTTACTTACCAATACCTATCGATGAGCAAAATATGAGCGGAAAAAAGTTTCCACTCTGGCCGCTGGTAGCTGAATTTCTTTTAAGCATCTACACTTAAATTGTTAACGCGCGATTTTGCCTCTTCGGCTGCTCGGAGGTGAATAGTACCTGCCGATCACTTCTAAACCACAACTTAGGGGCTCGCGAAAAGTACTGTTTATCTGTGCGGTATATAATAATGAAAATCACATTAAGACTAACATTCATACTAATAATAACTTACAAATTAAGAGTTAAAATGTCACATTTTATGTACAGTTAAATAACTGGCACCCTAAACACTTGACATTGACCAGGCTAGAGCGAAATTGTTACGAATGAGTCACACGAGTCTGGCATCTCATCTCCTTCACCGCTGAAATATCGCACCACTTCTGCACCTTTGTTGTTCAGAGTCGTTCGGACGTGGAATGTTGTTCCTTTTTCTTTGCTGCAGTGAAATCTTATTTGGGTAAAGTTTATGTACGCTCTTAGTTGGTTCATAGCGCTTTTGGTTACAATTAAGAGTTAAAATGTCACATTTTATGTACAGTTAAATAACTGGCACCCTAAACACTTGACATTGACCAGGCTAGAGCGAAATTATTACATAATAGTTCAAGACTTTACGGAAAACGAAAGTAGGTTCAATGTGAGGGGAATCATGTATACAAAGGAGGTGCACGTGACAAGACCATGTAAGGAGGCTGAGCCACGTATAAGCCAGATTCAAGGAGATTGTGAATTTGGTTGACTTACAAGATCAAAAAACAATCAAATTTAAAATTATTCGACTGTCAAGCACGTGGCCAGAGAGTAGTTTATATGCATTTAAATTTCCATTTGACTTTTTGGCTTTTTCGCTTATGCTTTGTCCTAATACAAAGTTATTGCAAGAATATGTATTTCATCGGACATAAACTTTCCAAAAGTCTCCAGTAGACAGGTTGTCACTAGTATTATCATCGCACTCCCAGTTGCCATCAACAGAAATTATCCAGTGATACTTGCCGCCCACAAATGCTGCGTGATCGTACAGACGATTCTCTCCAACACCATTTGTGACATGTCCCCACTTACCATCATATGCCCATGTCGCACAATTCTGAGCCAGTCTTGAGTTATCGCCTTCCATACGGACGAAGGAGTCACACGAGTCTGGCATCTCATCTCTTTCACCGCTGAAATATCGCACCGCTTCCGTACCTTTGTTGTTCAGAGTCGTTCGGACGTGGAATGTTGTTTATTTTTCTTTGCTGCAGTGAAATCTTATTTGGGTAAAGTTTATGTACGCTCTTAGTTGGCTCATAGCGCTTTTGGTTATAGCCATTTTGCCGTTTCCGTAGTTACGCATACCTTGAAACGTTTGTTCAGCTGTGCCATTCCACCATGACGATTGAGAGCTTGCTAAAATAATGTTTACCACCATCATCCAGCCACCTATTAATTGAAAAAAAACCCTGGCTATATAAAGATCAAAGAAAAAATACCAACATTTGAAAACGGGAAAAAAAAAACGCCAAGGTACCTCCATCAGTTGTCATGTCACAAAAAGCCTTAAAGGAGTTCCCATTGCCTTGTGGGTCGACCCAGTACTCTCCATTCCCAGTGGAATCTCCATTCTGAATGATATGTCGACAGGACTCGGCAGTTCTGAAGGGAACTGACCCAAGTAAAGCTGTAACGAAAAATATGCAAACAAATCACTATACTTTGCATGCGTAATCAATAAATTACAACTGTAGACAACACAATTAACATTTATAAATGAAAGTACTTGTCACAACCTATTGATCGTTGTACATCTTAATTTGCAGTTGATGACAAGCAAGTAAAAGTTTTAATAATACGATAACTAAACGGTGTTCCTTATTGTTTAGTTTTTGTGCCGTTTGGCTCTTAGAAATGGGTTCATTTGTCGATAGGTTAGATTTAGCAAATTTAATGGTTAAAGTTTACTATTTGACGGAATGACGCGGACTAATTACGTATTCTAGAGACCTTAGAACTAAGTGGACTCACTACGTAATCAAGTCCCTTGAAATTATGTCTTCCAATTTCTTTAGTTGTCGAAGTAACAAGGAAAAAAGTTTGCTAGCTCACAAAAGTTTCCTTGGTAACATTATGGCAGAACCATGTAAAAAAATGTAGCCATAACCTTCTTAACAGACACAGAACGATACAAAAGCCCAAATGTTTTAAGGATATTCTCACCTCGATCTGGATTATCAGCATAGATAAACCCTGCATTTTGTTTCAGACTGGCTGGGCAGGAAATCTTAGTTTCCTTTTAATACTCTTTTACGGAATGACGCAGACTTTCTGCGTTTCTTGAGGCCTTGTAACTGAGTGGACTCATTACTTAACCAAGTCCCTTGAAGTTATGTCTTCCAATTTCTTCAGTTGTCGAAATAACAAGGGAAAAAATTTGTTTTAAGGATATTCTCACCTCTATCTGGGTTTTCAGCATAAATAAACCCTTCATTCTGCTTCAGACAAGCCGGGCAGGAAATCTTAGTTTCTTTGTTAAACTGGCAAGTTTTGTCACTCAGCCTGAAGTTAAGGCTTTGACACACTGGCTGTGAATTGCAGGCAATATAACACGAAGCCAAACGATCCACGGTGAACGATTTGAAAACGTGATCAAGGAGAACTAAGCCATGTTCAGATCGTTGCGTTACCTTACATCGCTGAGCAAATGTTTTAACCGAATATGATGCCAAAATGAACCAGAACGAGAAAACATCCATCTAGTATCGCCAGTAACTGTTCGTG